TTTTTATGGCCTGTTAATTTCACTCTGAAGAGTACTAAAACTGTACTCTTAGAACTATGAGAATCCTCTAAAATAGATATTATCCATGGTGGGAGGAGGTCAAACAGGGTGAAAAAAAGCCCAGCAATGCCCATTTAGCTCCTTTTTGTACCCACAGTGTACTTTAAAAATGCATTTTCCCAGGTCACTAAAATTCCTATGGAACATTTTGATAGATATTATACTTGCAACTGAATTTCAAATTCCCAGGTACTGCAATAATTTGGGCCTGTTATTGCATGATACCATATAATTTCTGATACAAGTTGTTTATTCCTTTAATATTTTGCTATTCTTCTATTAAAATGGCTGTAATTTTTTAAAAAGACAATACTGCAGAAATACAGTTCAAAGTATATTGGCTTATTTTACCTGCTATATCTAGAGCTTAAGGTCATCATGGGACCACATAACCAAACATACGTGCCAAAAAATACTGCTATGGAAATACAACTTTCACTTATTTTGAAAATGCTAGTAATAGGTATTCTTGATTAGGAATGAAAACATTGTTGAATTCATAAATTTAAATACTGAGGTTATATATTAGGGGTCAGCTATTAAATTTACTATTCATTCCTCAGCCTTTTAACATATTATCATCTTGTTTACTTAATACCTATAAAGAGAGATTTTCTTTGAGCAATAACTAGGACACTGCATTCACAACATAAACTCGGGTTTACCACGTTGTAATAAAATGTAACCAACTCAAATTTTAAAAGGTGTTAATGACCACATAATATCTGTGGTAATTTTGTATGAGTCACTCTACCCAAATCCTTTAAGGGCTTTCTGATACAATCTGCTCCCCCATACTTTGAAAGTTCACGATCAGTATGTGCCTGCATTTCCCAAGAGTCTCTAGAATTTCAAATCCCTTGGAGCCTTTTAAGAAGGATCTTTCTTCATCTTAAGAAAGGTATTTTCCTAGGAGCACAAGTCAAACACAAAGTAAAACTGACTAAACAATTGGTCTGTCACCTCTCCTTAGAAAAGCTTTATACAGTGGAGCTGCGCTGGCACATTCTTTTCCTATTGCAGGGAGAAAATAATTATTTTTTTCAGAATCAACCACCTTGAGACTAGAAAGTAAAATAAAGTATACTTGGGAGAGCTCTGACTATAAATAAAATTTTTATTTTCTATTTAGTAAGTTAAATAGAATATTAGAATAGAATTTAAAAAATTTTTTAAGTGCTAGTTTCACAAACTATCTTCATCATACGTAAATCTATAGAAAATAAACAGATAGTGAACAAATCCATGTACCTATCACTCACTTAAAACAGATACTAACATTTTCATATTTGCTTCAGCTCTCTTTAAAACAGAAGAAAAAGTTATACATAGATGTGAAAGAGTTCCATCCAAATTCTGCTCCACAGTCAGCCACTATTCCTAAAGTTAGTTAATATCCATGTACATTCTTACACTTTCATGTACTTTGATTACATTTATGTGAATCAATAAACAATGTATATTATTTTAAAACTCTACATAAATGCATCATACTGTATATATCCTTTAGCAACTTGTTTTTTTCACTCACTATTATGTACTTGGGATGGATCCATGGTGATAAACATAGATTTATGTTTATTCATTTTTATAGGAGACAGTATTTCTTGCATGAATAAAACCATAGTTTATCCATTTCCCTACTAAAGTACACCTGAATTGTTCTACTTTATTGCTATTTTAAGAGCTGCTATAATCACTTCTGTTAATGTTTGCTTGAGCAATTGCCCCTAGGTGAGAATTTGACTCAACAAAAATTTAGTCTGTGGAAAAAAAGATCCCTGGAATTATAGTTGGCCCACCCAAATGCCTTGTTCAGTCTAACGACCACCTTTCTAACAGGTAGGTCATGTGAACTGAAGAGCTGTAGGATGATGAGGAAGAAAATATATTTAAATAATATGTGATAATAAGGGAAACATGAGTTGATCAATTTGTGAGATGAATGAGACTAAAGCTGACCTTTCTGAGCACAATTCGGCAGCAGCGAACTGAAACTATACAGCCAGTCTTCTCGTAGGACCAGTCTTTTTCTCATAGGAGTTGAGGGAACTGTACATTTTCTTCAAAAAAGAACTGTACAATAAGAGTAACTCTACAAGAGCCAGAAAAAGTACTCATTACCTTGCTGACTTAAATAGTTTTGCTCTACCCACATAGTAAATTCAACTACTTTACCAACTGTTCAGCTGTTTAACCAATTGTGGGATGCAGGTGAACAGCAAGACATAATGCAGGAGATGGGGATAGGAAAATAAATGCACCACTAAAAAGACCAAGTCAGAGTTTGTTGCTATTTTATTTGTGATTACCATGCATTTTTTAATGACTAATAACCTACAAAATCTATTACTTTATGACTGATGAGAAGAGTTAAAAGAAAAAAAACTGGTGAAAAAAAAGAGACTTCCAGAAAAATCTATATCCATAACACAGGTGGAATATGTGGTAGGTTTCATTCTGCAAAGTTATAAAAAGAACCAAACGAATCAGAAGTCATTGAAATCCTCATGGCATTCTTTTTTGAAAGGGGCTCAACCTCATACTACATGAAAACAGGCCTTCTTTTACACCATATCGAAAATCACTACTCTTTCCTAGTTTTTCAACTCATATTAATACAGAATTATAGGAGAATATCACGTCAGTCATATTCTTTGGAAATAATTTTAGAATGTATCCAGCAATGCTGTATTAAACCCATGCTTTTCAAGAAAAGACAGATAAACAGTACTCTTTCCACTTAATCAAACAAAAACGTAAGTCAGATCTCAGTAAAGTTCTCAACATACCCTTGCTTTTTTACAGTTAAAAAGCCCAAAGGATAAATGTTTCAAATGACATCCTAAATTCTGAAAGCCTAAAATCTGGAGAAAAGGAATTCCAGTTCACACTACTTAAATTTATTTTAAAAATAAAAGGCTTATATAATGCCACTCAACTCTCCCCCTTCCCAGATGACCTGTTTGGTACTTCATTTTCTGCATACTTATCTGTACAAATATTAATATTGTGAAACAGCTTTGAACTTTTATTGCTATAACTATGATTTTTAATCTGCCAATATTACTTATAATTTTTGAACTATATCTAGTAATAAATTTAAACTATAGATTCCATCAGCATCTTTTCCACATTAAAATATCCTTATGGAATACCAAAATTACTGAAATCATATTTTCTCAAAGTTGATGAATCATAAAATTATCTATAAACTATCCCTAGATTTTAAAAAGTAAGTATAGTTCTTTTCTAAAAATATTCAGTTCCCTCTCCCACCAATTTTAGGAAAATAAAGTGTTAGTTTGGTTCATGAAAAAGTGGAAGAAGACATTAATAATTATAAAAATAGTAATATGTATTGAATATTTACCATGTGCCAGACACTGTAATAAACATGATATATGCAAACCACTAAATGCAAAGGTACAATTATGAGGAAGGTATTTTTATCCCCAATTTGGCGATAAGGAAACCGAAGCAGGGAAGTTAAGTAACTTTCTTTCCCGCAGTCAAAAATCTAAGCGGATGTGACTCCAACTATGTCCAGATCAAAGCCTAGGCTTTTAAACATCATGCTTATGTTATTAAGACTAAAATATTGCAGTTTACTGCAAATGTAAAATTTTCACTGCTTTAAATACTCTGAGTATTCATTCACTCAAGGGTCAAGTGGTCACACCAAATCATTCCTATTTATGATAAACTTAAAAAATACTGGAGTAATAGGTTTGCTCAATTTGCATACCTGTTCATAACAAACATACATCACACAATTTTATTCTTTAAAGCCCTTTTAAGAACATTTACAGCCAACAACATATCTAAAAGGCAAAAGACTCAGGATCTGTACTTGTATTCAACAGTCATTTCCTTTTCCATCCTAAACCAAAATGAGAATATGCTTGGCTATGCTACTTTAGCCAGTGTGTTTCTCCTCCTCTCATCATCAAAGTCCTAAACAGTGGTACAACAGTTCTGCCAACCTACAGTTGCTTGTCTCCAAAGTAGCCCTAAAACTCAGAAGACCAACGCCAGTGTCAGAACATTTCCTCTTCTGGTAGCCCCTATATCATTTTCCTGTCTTGACTTCTCAAAAGAATTTAACCACCGTCTGATGGATCCCTTGACATGCCAAAAGACTTAGCTAAACTACTAATTCTTAATATCAAAGTCATTTTCTTTATTCCGCAAACGCCTTTCAAACCACTAAAACCCTCAGTCTACTCCAGACCTACATACTGGGGGCAAACCCACCTGGGCCACTTACCAAGGTTCGAGGCCGGAGATCCGGCTTTATCTGCTCAACGCTTATTCAATAATCTTCACGAATGAATGGGAGGAAGACATCGTGGGTGGAGGCGGGAAGGTGGGGGGCATGGAGGAATTTGGCGCGGCTGAGACCACTGCCGTGGCGCCCCGACTGGGAGGAAGGAATGCGGGCGAATGGGAGAACCCGAGGCCGGGAAGAGGTGGCCGCGACGGGCGCTCCTCCACCGGCAGGCGCCGTCGGGCGGACGGTGGCTTGGGAAGAGGCGGGTGCCGTCTCCGAGGGTCCTGCAGCGCGCTGCGCCTCTCTCCCGGACTCCGGCCTCCGCACACAGAAGGCCCGGGTCGGTCAGCCCTCCGAAGCCGAGGACTGACCCGGGAACCGGGCTCGCTCACCTGACGCTACACGGACAGCACCGCGGTCTGCATCCGGCGCGAGCCTGGCAGTCCGGCGCGTTCGAGAGATCAGCTGATTCACGGGGGGGCGGGGCCCCAGGCCGGGGCGGGGCTGAGATGCTGAGATGCTGAGAGTGCGTGTGCGGGCGGGCGGGGATCGCTTCCGAAGTGGGTGGGATTAAATGCCGACGGCGTCTGGTAGGGATCAAAATTATCCAAGGGGCCCTCGTTACTGCGGTCAGCGCTCTCCGGAGTGCTGCCCCGCCCTTGGGATGGATTCGCAGTCGTGGGGCGCCCTTGGCAGTGACGCACCCGCGAGTTGCCGAGGCCTAATTACTCGAGCGCTGCCATGTGACAGATGTGGTGAGAGGGGTTGGGGGCTTGTTATCTGTTGCCATCTCAAACTGCGAGAGTCAAAAGTATAAGTTCGCTGCTCCTTATAGTGAAAAGAGAAAAATATCAAACTGCTTCGACGGACTGCGTGCTAACGGTGGTCGCTTCTGCCCCCGTGAATGATGTAATCGCCAGGCGGTGCCAGTTGGCCCTAGTGTCCTCGCTGTTTTTACTACCTAGGTACAATCGCGAAGGATGGAGTGGGGTAGGAGGAAATGAATTAGCCTCTCCTGTGGTTCCCAGAGGTCTCCCCAATATGCAATCTGAGTAAAACCAGTTTGCTTGCCCAGCGCAGTTTGACGACAGTCTGCTGGCTACAGCCACAGCTCCACCCCGAGTCAGCTTTTTCCGGAGATTTACCGGAGCCTCTACTCGTGGGTGCAAACTCTGCTGCTAGGCAGTGTGCCATCCCTGGATCTGCAGACCTGTATTCAGACCATCGTGAGAGATGTGTAGTCAGCGTCTGAAGCTCCAGGGCATAAATGGTCTGTTTAAATGGTCTGTTCACACCCTCAGTTCACTTCCCTCCCTCATCCTCCATCCACTTGCAAAACCTTTATAGTCTGCAGCAGTTCAACAACCAAGCCCCCTCTTGCACCAGTGCTAGAAATCCATAACCCTAAGAATTGGCACAATTGCAAACCAAAAGGTGTCCAACTTCAGTTGCGACTTCCGTGCAGCCAGGCAGTCAAGCTTAAACCAGTCCTTAACACACTGCTGGTCAGAATTTCAGCTATTCCTGTCCCCTGCTATTAGAACCTACATGCTCTCCTTATTTCTTACTGAACTCTATGCATCAAGCCCATTTGGTGAAAACTAAAACTAAATAAAAAATAAAAAACGTTACCTCCTACATTTCTGAGGAAAACGAGACCACTAGGAATGGATTTCCTTAACTCCCAGCAGTCACTGTTTTAAAACCTACCTGCAGCCCCAGCCTTCCATTTCTTCTCTTTCTCCTTAGAAGAGGTGTTTGCCTTCTCAAGGTTAACCCCCCCCCCTGAACTCAGGATCCCTTCCAGTCCCCTTAGAGACGTTCCTCCATTATGTATCCCTTCTTTTTTGTATATTCTCGATCTCTACCTCTCTACACTTTTCAGTGTATACACCTGTTCCTGCCTGTCCCATCTTTATTTTCCCCCTGTCCTATTTTCTTTTGCAATCTGACCTCCCAATCTTCGTCATCCCAATCTGCAATCTCTGCTTTTTCAGGTCTACTAAAACCAGTAGTCATCTCTTAATTTTGGAATCTAATGATACAGTCTAGGAATGGAACCATGCAATGCAACCATTTAAAATAAAGAGGATAATTTATATGTATTGATATGGAACAATCTGAAAGTTGGGTTGTTAAAAGAAAAAAAGGTAGGTGCCGAATCATGTGTATTGTAGCCTATCACTTGTGTGTTATGTGTGTGTGTCTTTTCACAGGAGAAAGAGACACAGAGTATAGAGAGAGTATATACCCTTGGCTTTGTATATGCATATATTGGGTCTGAAAGCATTAGTTGAAAGTTGACCATTGCTGGGGAAGAGAACTGGGAACAAAGTAGGAGAAAAACTCACTTTTCACTCTATGCCATGTTGTACTGTTTAACTTGTAACTTCACAATTATAGTTCGAATATATATATATATATAATTTTACTTATTTTTATAACTTTTGAATGTGAAAAAAGTGTATAGTTTTCAGCCTTATCTTCCTTTCCCTCTCTTCTTTCTTGACTTCTGGGACACATACCTTCTGGGTATTTCTCCTACTCCTTCAGACTGTTCCTTTCCCTTTCAGACTCTTTCTTTCCCTTAAATTCATGGACTAAATAAATATTTATTGCATGCTTATTATATGCCAGGCACTGTTTTAGGCACTAAAGCCACAGGATAATTAATAAAACAAACAAGAGTCTCTCCTGTCCTGGAACTTGCACTCTGGTGGTCTGGAAGGTAGTCTCCACAGACTGGCAGAGTTGGCAGCCATCAACTCCTTCCTGTATGTATATAGTGCCACTCTTAACATCAAAAGACAGAGTCTATTTCTTCTTCCCCTGAATTATGGGCTAGCCTTGTGGGGTTTTTTTTTTAACTAATAGGATGTGGCAGAAATGAAGTTCTGGTGCTTCTGAATCAAAGCCTTAAGAAGAACTTTCAGCTTCCACATCCTCTTCTGAGAAGCCAGCTGCCATGCTCTAAAAGAAGCTTCTATACTACAGATTGATAAAAGACAATGTGAAGAGAGAGACCACACTGAAAAGCATTACGATGTCATAATGTGAGTGAAGCCTCTTGAGATCTTTCAAGCCAGTCCAGCTACTGGCTGAATGCAGCTAAGCTGAGTGATACTAGCCAGTGCCAGGTGGAGCAGAATACCCTGGTTAAGCCCTGTCTGAATTCCTGACTGAAATTCCCAAGATGTCATAAATTGTTTCTTTAAACCACTAAGTTTTGGGATGGTTGGTTATGGAGTGATAACTGACACAAGCGGGAAAAGTGGGAGATAATAAATAAATACTGAAAGGAAAGGAGCGACACACAGCAGCAATTCACCGGAGAAATCCGCTTTATTAGGGAAAGGTGCTGGGTTATATAGGAAGGGGCATGGGGTGATTGTGGTCTTACTTCTACGGGGCTGGTGGCTATTGGCTAGGTGCTGGGATTGGGAGTGGGGCGAGAGGTGATTGGGCTTCAGGTGGCGCCGGCGGGAACCGAGGACCCCCCCACCCCAAGAGAAGCCGGAAGTTCGCCATCTTACTGGTGGGGGCCCTTCATTCCCCCCTTTCTTCTCTATGGGTTTGTGGACGTTGCTTTCTCTCTGACTGCTTCCTGCTGAACGGGGGCGGAGAAGGGAGTGAGGGCTTGAGAATTGGGAGGAAAGGGTTGATAGGACTCCCCACAGTAAGGATGAGTAGATGTGGACTTCTTCAGGTTGGAAATCAATGAAGGTTCCCTGTAACCATAGGTCGAGGACCTGTTGATTCTAATGGTGCCAAGAGGATATGGGTGTCAGGAGCCAGGCGTCTGCGGCCATTGTTTCCAGGAACAGTTTCCAGCGGAGAGAGGGGTCCATCTCAGCATGTGGTGAGGAGGTTACATGAGGGTGAGGGATCTTCTGTGGCCAGAAGCTGGTAGTT